AGCAGAAGGAGGGAGGTGGAGGGGATAGGAGGAGGGGAGGGGAGGAGGAGGGAGGAGAGGAGGGAGAGGACTTGTTGGACTTGGATTCGGGCCAGGAGGGCAATGCCCGCTTTGCCGCCGGCGACTTCCAGGGCGCGCTCGGCAGCTACGCTGCCGCGCTCTCCGCGGCGCGCCCCTCGGACGCGCGGCTCTGTCGTCGTCGTCGGCGTCGTCGTCGTGCTCGGTCCTTCGTCGTCGTCGCCGTCGTCAGCATCGTTTTGGTCATCGTCGTCGTGGTTTTTCCCTTTCTTGTCGTCGTCTTCCATCGTCGTCGCCAGATGAGAGGAGGGAGGAGGAGGAGGATGAGGAGGAGGAGGACCGGCAGGAGGATCATGGGGAGAAGGGGTAGCACTACGAGGGCAGCGGGCACGAGGTGAGGACTCTTACTCCTCTGTCTTATCCTCCCCCTTCCCTGTCCGTTCTGCAGATTTGAGATGGCAGGCAGACGTGGGTCCCAAGTGTGTCTTATGCACTCTTATCCTCCCCTGCCCTTCCTCCTTCATCCCTCCGAACCTCCGTCTTTCGTTCTCTGTTCAGCCTGCTCCCTCATCGTTCCTCCCTTCTCTCGCCCGCAGGGTTGCGAAGGATCTCGTCGACGACAGCGAGGAGGAAGCGGAAAGAGGGGATGGAGCAGAAGGCGGCGAGGAGAAATAATAGAGGGACATGGGGGGAGGCAGTTCAAGAGGATTGGGAGGAGGAGGAGGAGGAGGAGGAGGAGGAGGAGGAGAGGGAGTGTAAGGAGAGCGGATGATGATGAGGATCTGGATTCGGATAAGGATGTGTTTGACGATTTTGATGATGAAATTGGTGGTGATGGTGATGATGGCGATGACGATGACGATGACGATAATGATGAGGAGGGGAAGGAAGAGGAGGAGGAGGAGGAAAAAGGTTGTGGTGGAGGAGGAAGATGCTAATGAGGATGAGGATGGCAATAATGATTGTTCGGATGGCGAAGTGGGGATGTTTACGATGAAGAAGACGATGTTGGTAGTGATGGTGACGACAGCGACTGTGACGGTGCAGATACTGACGGTACTGATGTTGATGATGCGGATAATGCACATAATGACCATCTACATATATCCGTAAGGGCTTCGCCCATGGCTGCCGGCCCCCTCTCTCTCTCTCTCTCTGAGAATGGGGCATGCCATAGCTGGGTTGGGGTGCGAGAGCTCCGTCGTGAAGCACTGTGGGGACTCCACGCGAGGGCCAATCTCGTACGTTACAGTAGGGGTCTTGAAGAAGGAACCCTTTTCGTTGGGGAGGGGCTCCGTGTTCCTTAATTGTTTCGCAGCTTGCCTTAGGTTGTCCTTAGGTTTTCGACAGGAGATCGAAGTTCAGCTTGTGGAAAAAAGGGGCCTCGTTCCTTATTTAGGGTTCCTTAGGTCAACGCCCCGACTGTACCGCTTGGACAGCAAAGTTGAGACGCATCTCTCTCGGATTCTGGCGGTTCTCGCACTGCGAGAGCCTGCCGACCACCGTGGCTTTCCGGGGCGCGAGTCTCTCGTGCAGTCCGCCAGGGGGGCCGCGGCCTCGGGGGCGAACGAGCGCACGGCGTGAGGCGCGAGCGGGGATCGTGGCCGTCGGGCCCGCGGGCACGGGTGATTTTCACGAGGGGCCGTGGCCTCGGTGGATGCGATCGGGTCTGCTCTGTGGTGGCCGACGGCCTCGAGGGCCCGCGAGCACTGCGAGGTCACGCAAGCAAGCAATCGCAGGCCTAGAGGTTGACGCCAACACCAATGTCGGCGGTGTGCCTCCAACGAGGGAAGAAGATCCCGATCTCGGTGATGGTGGTAATGTTCTGGCTTCCAAGGTGGCCGAACTATTCCCACCAACACCGAATTCTTGGATCATCTTCCCCCCGTGGAGGCAACCCCCTGTGTTGGTGTTGGTGCCAATTCCCAGGCCTCCAAGACAAACAATCACGACACAACACATATGGCAAGTCCCGCGAGTACTGCAGCACGAGCGAGGCGCAGCAAGGAAGAGAGGCAGCAACAGGCAAGATGCTGGTTTCGAGGATGCGGCTGTTGCGTGGCCTGCGAGGGGCCGTGGCCTCGGGGGTGCGAGCATTGTGCTGTTTACGTGGGGTCGTGGCTTCGGTGACGCAGGTACGGAATCATTTACCAGGGCGCATGGCTTCTAGGACGCGAATTATGATTTGCATGGGATCGTGGCCTTAGGGACGCGAATCTTGTATGATTTGCGGCGGGGGCGGGGGGGGCGTGACTCTGGGGATGCGAATACTGGAAGATTTGTGAGGGGCCGTAGTCTCGGGGACGCCAACATTGCATCACTTACGGTGGATCGTGGCCTCGATGTTTCACGATGGTCCGTGGCCTCGGGGACGCGAGTATTTTCTTATATCCAAAAAGGATGATGGCTTCGAGGACGCAAAGATGGTGTAATTTACCAGGGGTCGTGGGTGGGTTCGGGGACGTGGGCCTCCCGTAGTTGACAGCACATCGGGATCTCGTGGACGCGAAGATTGTATACTTTCAGAGGGGCCGTGCCCTCAGGGACGCGAATAGTGTGTAATTCATGTGTCAAGGCTTATGGCCTCGAGGGCGTAAGTATATGGCGTAAGTGTCACATAATTTACAGTGGATTCTGGCACCCCTGCTTCTTTGAAGGCGCGGGCCTTCTCTGTAGACGTAAGGCCGGCGCCTTCTAACAAGCAGCCTCCTTCTAAGACGCCCCCCCTTCCCCTACCCCCTTCTGCGCGCCGCCAATATATGGCGTGATGTATTAAGGCTCGTGGCTTCAGCGACCCGAATCTCGTATGATTGACGGGGGATCGTGGCCTCAGTGACGCGGGTGTTGCATAGCTTACCAGGGGCCATTGCCTCGTGGGCGCGAATCTCATGCATTTTTCCCTGTCCACGACCTGGTGGGAATTCAGAGCACGCGACTCAGGCGTGGTAGCAGGGTTCTTTTGGGCTCCCCCCATCGCGCGGCCTTCAACAGATACCAGGAGCGCGTAGAAAGTAGGACTACTACATGGGAGACTTGAGAAACTGCAGCTGGAGCAGGGAGCGGCAAGCCTGACCTCTGCAGCCTGATGGCCCCACCAGGTGGCTGGCGGATTACGTCGATGTTGTGTAGGACTCTGGTTTTGTGTTGGACCATCGAGAAACGTATTGGCCCGCGAGTAGTTATGCTTTGCTTCGGGGTTCCAACACCCAGGCACCCGCATTGGAGCGCAAGGGGGGAGAGGAAGACGTACAAGATTTATTGCACAAAGTTTTGCTTAATTGCCACCATCGCTTTCACCCTCTGCGGAGTGACCTGAACTGCCGTTGCGTCGGAAGAATATATCGTTGAAAAGCTCGCCGGCATGAGAAAGTGGCCGTCGTCGTCGTAGGGGAGGGGAGCCAGGGTCCAAATGGGCCTCTTGCTCCTGCTCCTCCTCCTCCTTCGTGCCAGGCCCCCAGAGGCCAGGGGGGCGCCCTGGGCAGGCCGCGGGTCCACGCGGCGGCCCTACGTCCACAGCCCGTCGCAGGGATACAGACCTCACGAGGCTCAAAAAAAATAGGGGGCCACATGCGAACCCTGCCCCTAACCCCCCACGATTTCTGCGGGGGAGGGTGGTGTTCACTTCGCTCGGGAGCTCACGAACGAAGTGAACCCCACCCTCCTCAGAAATCGTGGGGGGGGGGGTAGGGGTAGGGTTCGCACGTGGCCCCCTAAAAAAGGGACCCCAGGGAAAGGGACGTTTGAGACGGGCGGTGCCGACTTCTCAAGTCCGCTCGGCTTCGCCCACGAGGTCGCCGCATGACGCATGCACCCCACTGTTCGAAGTCTCAAATTCAACGCCGTGGTCTCAGAGGTTCCTTTCTCTGGCGCCCTTTTTAGATTTCGTCCAACATTCGCCTGTAGGGGAACATGCCCGACCTAATGCTAAGTGGTGTGGTTGGGCATGTTCAAGACTGCGAAGTAGTAATCCGGAGCCAGCGGCGAGCACACCAGAGACAGAGCTGGAAGACCGCGCAGCAAGGATTGAACCCAGAGCCTTTCAAACTAGGATAATGAAGAACGATAGAAACATAACAACTCGGAGGTCCGCGCGGATTTCAACATACAAACGTAGAGATAACTATTAACACAAACATATGAAAAAAAATAATCTGGCGTGTCGTTATTCGTTCCCCTACAAGCGCTGCAGCTGTTGTTCTTGACGGATCAAATTGGATTGGCTGATTTACAAGACCTTTTGCTGCACACTCCAGGGAGCAACACGCGTCCAGACCAACACCTTTTTCTTCCCACCCTGGACAGTCGGACTCGCCCTTGCGCTGCAGCCGAATCCTCAACTCATCCTCCTGGTTTTCCTCCTGGTCCCCTTCCCTGCATCCCGGTCCTCCCCCTTTCAGACCCTCGCCTTCAGTATCGCTGCGGTTTCCGTGCTCATCTTCGTCGCCGCCGCAGCTGCTGTCGTCCCCGTGTTCCTCCTGCTCCTGCTCACGCTCCTCTCCTCTCGCCTCCGCCGCTCCTCCTCTGGGGCAATCTCCAGACTGGCCTGCTCCCATGGCGGTGCTTCGCAGGCGATGTTTCTCCTCCAATCCCCGAGATCCGCCCGAAAAGTTCGGCCGTTCAGAAAAACGGGAAGCCCTGGGATGCACCCCAAGGGGGCTATCCGTACGCACCCGTCTCGAGGATGGACGCCACCCCCATCGCGTATCCCAGGGTTGCGCCTCAAATGTCGTGTTCACTTCGAAGACCCCACGAGGCCTGGGACAGGGGTCGCCAGATCCCCTGTTGGCATGCCGTCCTTCGTGGCTCCCCCATCTGCCTCTCCGTCTGCCCGACCCTCCGGGGGCGGCCTGTGCAGAGCACCCCCTTCCGTGGCGGCCCCCTCGCCTCGCCCTGAGAGGCACGTGTGGGGAGTTCTGGGAGAGGCGAGGGGAGGTCAGGGAAGGGGATGGCTCGCCAAGTGTCGGTCAGGCCGCGCCCGATGTGCCTCGATATCTCGGCGTCTCATTGTTTTTCCGAGCCGGGCGTTTTCGCATTCTGTCATGCCCAGGGGCCCTCACAGATCGATCCGAATGGATCAGAAAGATGGGGTCTAGGGCTCCGGGCGCGGTGTCTTACGAAGCTGCATCGTTTCGCTGCGCTGGTTCTCAGGGCTTCGCCCTTGCTCAGACGTGGCAGTGTCAAGGTGTAAGAAAACCGTTTTTGTGCTGAGGCTGGTTTCGCCCGTGGGGCTCGCCGGTCCTCAAGTGAGCCCCCTCTGGCAGCAGGGCGCGAGCGATCTGCACTCAAGGTACGGTGGCAGTCGAGTCTGGCGCCCCAGACATCCAGCGGCTCCAGTGTTACTCGATGCGTGGGCCCCCGAGGTCCCGACCACTTCCCTATAGGGCCGCTCTCTCCTCCCGAGTCGTTTCTTCGCGCTCCCGAGGCCCGGCGAGGGCCCCGGGGGCCGACAGCTGCTAACATCCCGCCGCTCCAACTCTCTCGAAGCGGGGGATCTTGGGTGACACCCTGCCCGCCCAACGCCAGGTCCAGGGGGGTAGCCTCGGAAATATATTGGGCTGCACGCGGTGCATCTGCGCGGCCCCTTCCCCCCGCGCAGCTCTCCTGCAGCGCGCGGCGCTCTGCCGCCCCCATCGCGCGGTGCTCCTGCGCCCCCGTGGCGCCGCGCGCGCGGAGCGAAAGCCCCATGCGGCGAGGGTTCCAGTCCCGCGGCGCGCCTGGGGGAGAGGGGAGGTCCCCCCCCCTTCTCCGCTTCCGCCGCCTCCTCCTCCTCCTCCTCCTCCTTCTCCTCCTCCTCCTCCTCCTCCTCCCCCTCCTCCTCCTCCTCCTCCTCCTCCTCTCCTCCTCCTCCTCCTCCTCCTCCTCCTCCTCCTCCTCCTCCTCCTCTCCTCCTCCTCCTCCTCCTCCTCCTCCTCCTCCCTCCTCCTCTCCTCCTCCTCCCTCCTCCTCCTCCTCCTCCTCCCCCTCCTCCTCCTCCTCCTCCTCCTCCTCCTTCTCCTCCTCCTCCTCCTCCTCCTCCTCCTCCTCCTCCTCCTCCTCCTCCTCCTCCTCCTCCTCCTCCTCCTCCTGTGAGAGGGGGCAAGCCGCCTCAGAAGGCGGCGGAGCTCCTCAGCAGCCCTCCGGCGCTTCCCGAGAAGCTGTTCGGAGAAGGCCCGAGGCCTTCCGAGCCTTTCCCCGTCGGCCTGCCGCCAACCCAGTCCTGCGACACCCGGTCTCTTCGCAGCCTTGGGCCCACAGAGCTCTCGATCGCGCCCGCGGAGTGCCACCGGGCGAAGGCCCGCGGGCCCGCAGGCCGAGATCGAGGTGGAGCGTCGGGGTTAGGGCAGCCGTGGGTCAGGAGCACGAGCCCCCTCGCCGAAGGCCCGAGGCGCAATGGGGCTGCCCCAAGCGGAGAGTACTCCCAAGGTGGAGGCGTGAGCACGGAGAACCTCAGGGTGCCGCCCCCGAACGCCAGGGCTGCTCTTGCCCATCGTGCCGGCTGCAGCTGTCCTTGCTCCTCCTCGCCCCCCTCTGCCATGCGTGCTCCTTTCCTCCCCGCCTTTGCCCCCTCGTGTGAGGCCCCGGCGGACGCCAGCGAGATTAAGGCGACGCTGCGCGCGAACAGGCCCCGTCCTCGTGTTCGTCCTCGTCGTCGGCGTCGTTGTCGTCGTCGTCCTCGTCGTCCTCGGCGCCGTCGGCGTCCTCGTCGTCGGCGCGCACGGGTCTGCGCCCGCGCGGAAGGGAATTCGAGGATGAGGAGGCGAAAGAAGAACGGTCGGATCAGGGAGGAGGAGGAGGAGGAGGAGGAGGAGGAGGAGGAGGAGGAGAAGGAGGAGGAGGAGGAGGATCAGAGGAGGAGGAGAGAGGAGGAGGAGGAGGGAGGAGGAGGAGAGAGGAGCGGAGGAGGAGGAGGAGGAGGAGGAGGAGGAGGAGGAGGAGGAGGAGCAGAAGGAGGAGGAGGAGGAGCAGAGGACGAGGACGAGGAGGACGAGGAGGAGGAGGAGGAGGAGTAGGAGGAGGGAGGAGGGAGGAAGGAGGAGGGAGGAGGGAGGGGAGGGGAGGAGGAGGAGGAGGAGGAGGAGGAGGAGGGAGGAGGAGGAGGAGGAGGAGGTTGGAGAAGTTGTTATAAGTGTTCTCTGAAGACCCCAAGCCCCAAGCACTTCTCACAAGGCGCGGGGGCTTTGAGAAGTCCCGCCGCCTCCTGAGAAGGCCTTCTCCTTCTCATTTCCCCCCCCTCGCTCGCCGCCGATCGTGGGCCAGTTTGGAAACGGATTGCGGAAAGATGGCAAACTTCATGGATTCCTTCTCTAGCTTTGGGGCGTATGTTGGCTTCTCGGGGGTGTCCTTTGGAGACCCCGTGGCCACTTGGAGCCGTCTTGGACCAGCCCAGAGGCATGTTGGCGGCTACATTAGAAAGCGTTAGGCTTTGTTAGGCCATATCGGAGGCCGTGTTGGGATATTTGGGCCCATCTTCGAGCCATCTTAGGCCACATTGGACGCCCCGACAACCGGCGACTTTCCTTCCCTGGACCCAGGGGGGTAGAGGAAGATCTGACAAGCTACCCACAAGCCGCAAGCCGTCTCGTTCACTCCCACCCGCCATCCCAACGTGTGATTATCTCCCGAGACTCAGCGTCTTCACCAGTCGCCGTTGGATGGACTACTACAGTGGAAGCCCATGCCAAAACACACCCTGCTTGCCTCCAGGGTGCCCTGGGTTTCTTGGGTTTCGATGGCTCTACGATGGAAAACGTGACTTTCCCACACCTAGAATCAATGGACGTCCTGGGGCTCCAGGGTCGTGTTTCTTGTAGAAGGTTTCTTGTGGTCGAGCTCCTACTGTACTGGAACCCAGGCAGCTTCCAGGTGCGCGACACTGTCGCACCATGCGTGCCAAGCGCGCCGCGTGCACCACGTGCGCCAGGCGCACCTTATGCGCGAGATGCGGAATGTGCTCCACATGCGCCAAGTGTGCCATGTGCTCCACCAGCGCCACGCGTGCGACGCGCGTAGACGCCTGGCAACGCACTCTGTCCCAAAGACAATATGTGGTGATCGTGGGGAGCCCACGCACGGTTCAGGATCCTTCAGCACAGTGCACTTGGTAGTATTTTTTGACATGCATGGCGACCCGGGGGTGTCAGCACTGGTCCTGGTTGGGTCCCAAAGCGAGTGGGGGAGGGGGTGTTCATCGGTGCACTCCGAGCGCTGAAAGTATGTATTCTCGGATTCCCAGATCCCAATCCATTTCAAGCGCCTTCCTACTTCAGGGATCTATGTTTTTGTTGCGTTGTTTCGTTATTCCTCTTGGATGACCTGAACCCCATCTACTTTATCGCCGTCCTACTCCATGTTTTTACATTTTTTCGGGCCGACGTGTACGGAGCAGTGATAAGCCACGCCTCTCCCCGAAGTGAAAGAAGGGGAGTTGGAAGAGCCATTTCGCTAAAACACCTTCGCCCAGAGGGCTGGTTGTATCCTCGGCCTCTGGGTACCCTTACCAGGCCCATGAGTCATACAGCGACCCAGGAAGAGCAGTTGGTCCCCAGGAATGGGTCCAGACTTCTGGGGAGCCAAATAGCGAAAGCATCATGACGCCTGATGTCTGGAGTGGGGACGGTGAGGGAGGGGCAGGGAGGGAGGGAAGTCAGGAACGGATGGATTGAGGGAGGGCTGGGAAGTCGGCCGACAGGTCGATCTGCTGCCTGAAGCTGGGAAACCCAGAGCTGGCGCTCGCCGAAGCGGAGCAGAGCAAGGACGCCTCCGTCGCTTTTCCCTGACTGGGCTCGTCTCAGAGGCATCTTGCAGCGAAGGCGCTGACATGAGGAGCATCTCGGGTTCGGAAAGGGCTCGGGCTGGGTTTTTTGCGGCCGCATCCGCACTGCAAGCCGCCCGCCTAAGGTCGCGCGTAAGCGCTCTCGCTTCCAATGTAGTGTGCCGCGCTGGGTGCCCGCACAAGCCTCCGCGTAGGGTCGCTGTGTCAAGGCCCGTTCCTGATTGTCGTTTCTCTTCCATCGTCGTCCTTGTCAGGTCTGGGCCCCTTCCCAGGGGCGGCTGCTCCTCCCGAGCCGTTCCTGCTGTCCTCGGGGAAGCCCCGATGCTCCCAGAAGCGCTCCGCCGCGCTGCTCCCCACGGCGCGAGGGCCTACAGTCGGGGCCCTGAAGAAGGAACCCTCTTCGTTGGGGAGGGGCTCCGCGTTCCTTAAGTGTTTCACAGCTTGCCTCAGGCTTTCCTTAGGTTTTCGTTAAAAAACGAAGTTTAACTTCTGGAAAAAAAGGGGCCTCGTTCCTTATTTAGGGTTCCTTAGGTCAACGCCCCGACTGTACCAGCCTGACGCATATCCCTATCCCCATGACCGGCATCGCCCTTACCTCGGTGCCGACCTCAAGGACCCCCTCGGCTTTGAGGACGCATCCCCAAGGTCGTCATCGCCTTTCGGCGGGTCAATCTCAGGGGTGCCCGCCAGCCGTTGAAAGTTGGTAGTTTGCATGATTGATATGCTTTTGGTGTGTTTTGCGATTCTCTGGGGGGGCCTGAACCCAATCTACTTTATCCGCCTTCCCACTTCATATTTTTGCCTTTTGGCCGACGTGTAGGGGTAATCGGCGTCACCCCGACCTACTGATGCTATGTGTTCGTCTCCCCCCCAGGGGCGACGCGCGCACTGAAAAGTCTTATAGCATATGCGTCGTGGCGGGTGTTTACTGGCCACACAGCTCGAGAAACGATTTACTACAAGATGGGTGTACTATATGTTCGGGTCGGACGCGCGCCTCCAAGTCTGTGCGTCCCATAGGGGTAAGCTCGAGCCGAGGCTGGTAAGGAAGCGTTCCAGCGCGCGCCCCTCGCCCAGAGCCAATTGCGCCGCCGGCCCAGCACCGCTCCGCCCCGGGCAACGGGGGGCGTCCGACGGCGAGCAGGCGCTCGGGTGGGCCTCGGGTGGGCCTCGGCAGGGACGCCGATGCGCCCCCACGCTCCAAAAAATTGGAGCGGCGGGATTTGGGCACTTTTCGGCCTCCGGAGGCCCTCGCCAGGCCTCGCGAGCGTCGATAAACGACTCGGGACGAAAACCCAGCCCCGGGGAAGTGGTCCGGACCTCCGGGGCCCACGCATCGAAAAAGTTGGAGCAGCTGGATGTCTGGGCCAGAGAGCGTCTTCTTGCTCCCTGGCGATGCACGCTGGTCGTTGGAAGTCGGTATGTTTGGATTTCCGGAGCCCAATTTGCTTGAGGCGCGCTTTTCTACTTCAGGGCTCGGGCTGCTTTGCCCCTTCCCTTCTCCTCAAGGGGCGGGCGGGAGCCCCACCCATCCCTTCAGCGCCTTCCTGCCTCATGCTTCTCCCTACTTCCTCCGACCGACGGGTGACGGGCGGCGACCGGGGGGCAGGCTGAGGGGGCCCGTCACGTCACGATTCGCGCCGCCGCCGCCGCCCGGGAAGGCTTGGGAGTGGCCAGTTCCCCGTCGGCGCCGGAACGAATCGTGGACGTGGCCAGGGGCGGGGGGGGGGGCGGGGCTGGTCACGGGCGTTGTCAAGAACGAGTGGCACGCGTGCCCTGGCGATTGCACCAGGGAGCTGCGAGGGACAGGAGGCGAAAGCCTCCTTCCTCCAGGAGTTTCCTTCTGTGGCGGGGGGGGGGGGGGACGAACGACGAACGAACGAAAATACAGAGGTCCGAGCTCTCTAGAACACAGCTGTGCAAGTCGGTTTGACCCAAAATCAGAGCGTGAATTACCTACCCCGCTTTCGCTTCCAGGCAAAACCAAGTCATACCACGCGCCTCGTCGTCAAGCGGCCTGACCGGGTGGTCAAAAGCGAGGTAGGTTTGTTTTCCCCCTACAAAATGGGGTCCAGCGACAAGGGGGTGGTGCAATAGATTTGGTGCAATAGATTTGTGGGGCTGCAATAGATTCGGGGCGTGGAATACATTCCGGGGCGCAGAGGTATTGCTGGGGTTTCGCGTGCAATACATTCGTTGCAATACAATGCAGTACAAGTCTCTTGCGCAACACATTTGCAGCACTTTTGCCCCGGATCTATCGCACGAACGCCTTCCAGCTGGGCCCCCTCTTGGGTCGCTGGGAGCAAGGGTCGCAGGCCTAGAGGTTGACACCAACACCAGTATCGGCGGTGTGCCTCCACTGAGGGAAGAGTAGCCCAATCTCGGTGATGGTGGTAATATTCTGGCTTCAGAGGGGACCGAAATATTGTCACGAGATCCGAAGCCTAGGATCATCTTCCCCTGGTGGAGGCAACGCCCTGTGATGGTGTTGGTGTGAGTTTCCAATGCGTCCAAGAAGGAAACAGGGGAGCGAGCTCTTACAAGAGCGGCGAGGGCAGCCCCGTGTGCCAGCCAGCCAGCTTCTCGGGGGCAGCGCGGGAGGGGGCGGTGGGCTCCCTCGGCCTTACCCCCCCCCCCGCGCGAGCCTCGGGGCTAAAAAACGTCGGGCGTGCCCCTCGACAGGAAGAATACTCAGAGCTAGTCGAGCAACAGTCTGGGGTCGATGTCTCGACGATGTTTTGGGGCAGCTTCGAGCATGTGTGTTTTTGGCCATCTGTCGTCCTTCCTCCAAGCTGCCCCTGTAGGAGGCCATGCCCGACCTGGCCTCAGGGGTGCACCGGCTCCCGATCGCCCCAGGCCTCGCCGAGCGGGGCCCGAGGGCCCACCCCACCGAGAGGAACGTGCGCACTGCTATCGGGGGCCGGTCGTTTGAGTCGGACCTGTCCCTCTACAGGAGGACCATGCACGAGTAGCTAAAAACAATCAGGGGGCGATGTTTCGATTCTTCCTCCTTCTTTTAGAAACATGCGCGTTTTCGACTAGTTTCTCGTTGTTCTCTCAGAATCCGCCTGTAGGAGGACGTGCCCGACCTCAGCCCATGGCGGGCGAGGCGGCACCCGGAGAGCTGGCGGCGGTCGAGCGCAGCGCCAGGAGCAGGGGACAGCCGGGGACGGCCGGGGACCTCATCCTCGATCCCCCCCTTTCCTCCTCCAGGTCCTCCACGTCGCGCCCCTTCTTCCATGGAGGGCCGGACCGAGGGGCTGGGGAGCAGGAGGGCTGTGCGAGGAGGGCCGAGGAGGCACCGACGAGGCGGAGGAGGACTGGGGGGAGAGGCGAGGAGAGGTGAGTTACGGAGGCGCAGGCATGGGCTCTGGCGCGCGCGGGTTAGCGATGGGTCCCGTTTCCGCACGGGGAGGCGGCGGCATGGGCCTCATGCTTGTTTCGGGGGTGCCTGCCCGATTCATGGACCTGGCGCCAGCGCGCCAGCTCCACAGAGCCCTGACCCCTGTCAGCGCGCGCCCGAGCGACGGGGAGAGGCGAGGGGAGACGAGCAGAGACGGGGGGGGGGGGGCCTCCGGGGTGGTGCCCCCACCAGGAGCTCCGCCCCGACTGGCCCAAGGCCCACTTCCGCGCCGCCGCGGCCCTGGAGGCCCTGGCCCGCGCGGGCGACGCGCGGCTGGCCCTGTGCGAGGCGGCGCGGATCTCGCCGCAGGATCGCACCCCCCCGCCTTCGAGTGCCTCCCTCCTCGTGCACGCGCTGCCGCTTCTCCGGCGCCTGCCTCCGCCGGTCTGGGCCCCTCCGGGCTCGACGACCTGGAGGAGCCGAGGCAGCTCTGCGCAGCTCGCTGCAGTTCCAGGCCATGCGAGAGAGGGCCACATACAAACATACACACATATATATATATATATATATATATATATGTATATATATATATATATATACCCCAGCACCCCCAAACGACGGACTGGGGAGGGGGGGGTGCATCCTCCTCATCTTCGTCGTCCTTCTCATCGTCCTCCTCTCCTCATCCTGATCTCCTTAACCCCAGGAAGCATTTAAGAACCCTCCCCCCCCCCTTCCGGCAAATCGATAACCCTTCCGCACCCTGGAAGCGTTACCTGGCACCAGGAGCCCTCCTCCTCCTCCTCCTCCTCCTCCTCCTCCTCATCCTCCTGCCTCCTCCTCCACGAATATTAATACTATTTCGATTGTAGCCCAGGGGCCAGGCCTCCGCGAATTTGTTGTGTGTCCGGGTGCTAAACCTATCGTTCGGTTATTTCGGCCCCTCGGAATATCGAATAAAAATGCGGTGCTAAGATATCGCCGGGGGGGTTCTTAAATGCTTCCTGGGGTTATCTCCTTATCTTATCTCCTCCTCCTCCTCCTCCTCCTGCTCCTCACCCTCCTCCTCCTCCTCCTCCCCCTCCTTCTCCTCCCCCTCCTCCTCCTCCCCTCCTCCTCCTCCTCCTCCTCCGTAGCCATTTTGGCTCAAGATGCCAAGCAAGGGGGGGCTCCGCGCCTCCGTGCCAAAACGGATAGCTCTAGTCCGAGCCATACCCCGATCCTTTCAGGGCCACGATCCCGACAGGCACTGCTTGTCGGTACAAGCCCTTGCTCTCTGCCACATTACACCATGGGTTTCACGAATGGGTGCAAGCAGCCATTCACGGTGTGCGGGTGCGGGCAGTGGGCGTTCAACTTCAGGATCGAGCGCAACAATGGGAAGTGCATCAAGTGCGGAGCCAAGCTACAGCTGTACAAGCCGCAGGGAGGACAAGGTGCTGGCAACGACGTCGCTGCGGGATCGCCGTGGCGCGAGGGAAGGCAGGGCCGCCGCTGGGGCGGCAACGGCGGCAACGGCGGCACCACTCAGCCCGCCGCCAGCAACAAGCAGCAGAACGAGGCGGATGAGCTCAAGAAGGCGCTTGAGCTCTGCTCTGCCATCCTCCCCGACGATGCGATGGAGCAGGCCAAGAAGAACTTGGCAGCCAAGACGGAGACGGAGGCCAAGGCCAGGACCCCGTCGCAGCAGGTCCAGTCCACGGCCGCCATCCTGGAGCAGAAGGAGGCGGCGCTCCAGAAGGCCGCGGACGCGCTCGTCAAGGCCGAGGACGCTACCAAGAAGGCGAAGGAGGCGCACGTCTTGGCGGGCACCGAGCTGCTCAAGGCGAAGAAGGACCATGAGGATGCGGTGCAGTCGCTGGCCTCGACGGTGTCCAAGCGCCCCGTGGACGACACCACCACCAGCGACGGCAAGAAGGTCATCTTTGCGTTCGACATGTCCCTCCTCAACGAGGGCCTCGACCAGCTCGACGAGGAGAAGAGGAGGGAGCTGGAGGGCCACCGCGCAGCCCTCGACACCGCCTACCAGGCCATGGTCGCCGAGGACGCCAAGGTCAGGGAGATGTGGGCCAAGATCGAGGAGATCAAGGCGAGCCCGCCCAAGCGGGCGCGGGTCGAGGTCGCCAGCGCGGCTGAGGCCCCAGCGCAGCAGGCTGCCCAGGAGCAGCCAGCGGCTGCAGCGCAGCCGGCCGCACCTGCTGCGGAGGAGAAGCCTGACGTCGCCATGGCGGGCGACGAGGAGCAGGCTGTCGAGAGCATCGCGGTCCCTGGCCTGGACAAGGCCGACCCCGAGCTGCTCGCGGCCACCCTCGAGCAGTCCGTCGCCGACGCCCGCGGCCGCCTGCCCGCCTGGCCCCCGCGGCCCAGCGGCAGCGGAGCAGCGGCCTCCTCTGGCGGCCCAGGCCCCGCGGCGGCGGCAGCGGCCACTGGCGGCGCCAGCGGCGGCCCGCCCCAGGCAGCGGCCGCCCCTGCTCCTGCTGCTGGCGGCGCTGGCAGCGCTGCCAAGCCTGGCGGCGGGGGCCGCGCGGCCTCCAAGGGGCCCCAGCGGGGGGGGCGGTCGTCTCCCTAACAGGGACGCTGCCGACGGAGGCGCAGGAGCCCAGGCTGTGGACGCTCTGAGACAGGAGGCAGCCAGCGCGCAGCGGGCCAAGCGGCAGCACTGCACAGACGCGACGGTATTCTTCAGCAACATCACGAAGTGGGGCCCGCAAGCGAGGGGCTTCATGCGGGCCCAGGCCGAGAGCTACGACCTCGTCGGCCTGGTGGAGACACATGCTAACGAGACCGCGACAGGCAAGGCGCGCAGCGACTTGTCACGAGATGGATGGAAGCTACTCGGCACACCAGCGAGATTGACGGGACGCTCTGCGACGGGCACCTCAGGAGGCGAGTGGATGGTGGCCAAGAAGCAGATACAGACAACTTCTTTCGAGGCCTGGAGAGAGGCAGGCAGGAGCAAATCTGGCCAGGACCCGTTTGAGGGGTTCTGCCCGACTTGCTGGCACCTCAAGTCGGGAAACATCGTGATCGTCAGCGCCTACCTCCTCCCGCAGCTCGGGTTCAAGGAGGCCAACCAGCGGGCCCTGGTAAGGCTCGGCGCCTTCCTCCGCCAGCTGCGCGACCCCTGGGCGGTCCTGGGCGACTGGAACATCACGCCAGACGAGTGGGACAAGACACAATGGCTTACGGAGCTCAATGCGGAGAGGCTGCTGGCGGAGAATTGCACCGCCACGTGCAGCAGGGGCTCGGGCAGCGCCATCGACTACGCCCTGGTCTCCAAGGGCACGGCAGCCCACCTGAAGCTGCAGGCTGTCGAGGAGGTCCCGTGGAAGGACCACGTCGGCCTGAAGCTCACGATAAAGGACGGCAAGCAGAGGTGGTGGCACAGGAAGCTGGACATCGCGCGCGAGCTCCCCACGGTCCCGCGGCCCAAGAAGCAGGCCGACCCGAACAGCAAGCGGCAGAAGGGCATCCAGAAGGCCAAGGAGGAGAGGCGCGCCAGGCTCCACGAGCACCTGCAGGCCGCCTTCGACGAGATGTACGACGAGCTGGGCGGAGACGATGACGAGAGGGAGGCTGCGCCCACCACGACCTTCAACATCCCAGGGCAAGTGTGGGAAGATGCGAGTGCAGCAGTGGACGCCAGAGGACTGGCCCCAGGAGTGACAGCCTGGGAGAGACCAGCCTCCCCACTGACAGCAACATCGAGAAGCCAAGAGAGCAAGGACCACTTCTTGCTGACGAGGGACCCGCAGGGCCAGCAGAAGATCGACAGCCACTTCGCGAGGTGGATCACGACCCTGGAGCTTGCGACCCTCCAGCACCATGAGATTGACACAGACAAGCAGGACGCCTACGTGGGCAGAGGCAGAGGATATGCCATCAAGTTGGTCAGGACCTCGGCCACGCCGGCGCGAGCGCACCTCCGAGACCCACACCTCGAGTGGTGGCACATCGCGGCGACGCTCCTCAAGCGCTACGAGATGCTCAGGCGCACCGACAGGATCTCCGAGGCCGCCAGCTGCTACGGCAAGATCGTCGAGCTCATGCAGAAGGCTGAGGAGACGCAGCTCCACGAGGTGTTCAACAAGGACGACGGCGATGAGTTCGGCAACTGGAAGGCCATGATGAGGACGCTGCAGACCCCCCCCCCGACGAGGACGTGATCCCCATCATCGAGATCAGCGAGAGGTACCAAGGGAGGGCAATCGGGCAGGCGCTCACCAAGTCGAGGAAGGCCTACCAGAGCTGGGCCATCAAGATGTGGAAGGAAGCACCGCGGCACCTCCACAACATGGTCAAGGACCCGAGACCCGAGACCGTTGAGAAGATCCAGCAGGGGAGCTCCGTGGCGGACCCCGACCAGATCATGAGCAACCGCGCCGACGAGTGGGAGAAGCACTGGGCTGACCCCAGCGTGACCCCCGACCAGCTCCTCGACGGCATCCACATGGTCATGGGCCGCGCCTGGCAGCAACCCCTGGCCCGCTCCAGCCGCAGCAGCTGGACCGCCTGCCCCCCGCCATCTCGGCCACCAAGGCCAAGGGGATCGACAACATCGGGCCGCTGGAGGTGCAAAGGCTCCCGACTGAAGGGAGGCAAGGAATGATCGACCTCCTCAATGACATCGAGGAGGTGGGGGCGTGGCCAAGGCAGATGCTTGCGACCGTCGGCTCCGTCGCGCCCAAAGAAAAGGGAGGGGGCGACAGGATCCTCGGCCAGCTCCCGTTCGTCATGAAGACGTGGAGCAAGCTCAGGGGCAGCATCACGAGCGAGTGGAGTGCCAACCTGAGCGAGTTCTGGGATACAGCAATACGAGGCTCGTCGGCTCTACGAGCCAGTATCCTTCGAGCCACTCTTGACGGAACAGCGAGAGAACTGGGAATAACCACAGCCACGCTGCTGTTAGACCTGGCCAAGTTCTACGACAGCATCAGCGTGGTCAAGCTTGTCCAGCACGCGCTGGAGCAGGGCTACCCGCCCATCGTGCTCTGCCTCGAGGCGCAGATGCACCTGGCACCGAGGCTACTGAAGGAGCGGCAGTGGGTCAGCAGGGAGATCCAGCCGTGGCGCTCCATCCTGGCGGGCTCTCCAGAGGGAGTGCGGCTCGCCAAGGCCTTCATGGGGCCCATCCTCCACCGCGCGCAGCTCACGAAGCAGGCGGCCATCGGCCTCTGGACGTTCGTGGACGACGCGGTCCTGCGCCCCCAGGGCACCGAGGCCAACGTGGAGAAGCAGCTGATCGACAGCGGCGCCAAGCTGGGCGAGTGCCTGAAGGAGGCGGGCCTCACGGTCTCCCCGAAGACCACGGTGATAGCGAGCTCCCCGAAGCTGGCCATCGCCATTGCGAAGGGCCTCCAGCAGCGCGGCGTCCCCGCCAAGGCAGAGGGCAACTTCGCCGACCTGGGCGTGGACTGCAACGCCGCGAGGACGCGCACACGGCGCAAAGGCAGACAGAGAATGCAGAAGGCCGCCAGGCGAGCCCACGCCATCAGGAAGATGCGCAGGATGGCAAGGCTCAAAGTGGTGACCAAGGGCCTCTGGACGACAGGGGCCCGAGCGCAGGGCACCTACGGCCACCAGGCGCAGGGCCTGCCGCACTACGAGGTCCTCAGGCTGAGGAGGCAGGCGGCTCAGGCGGCAGCAGGGCGCGGGCCAGGGCGGTGCCTCACCAGCACCCTAGCCATGCTCTACGGCAGAGGCGACCCAGCCAAGAGCATCCCGCGCGAGCAGCTGGCGGCCTGGCTGGACCAGTGGTTCGCCCACCCCGAGCTGCACGCCAGGATCGCCAAGGCCTGGCAGCCGGCGCTCAGGAGGCTCCGTCTGGCGGGTGAGAGCCGCTGGAGGAGAGTGCGTGGGCCAGTTTCGGCCACGGTGGCGACCCTCCTTGACGCAGGATGGGACCCTGTCGACCACGACTTCTGGGTCACGGACGAGGACGTGGGCTGGCGGTTCCCCAGCCCCAACCAGCCGAGCTTTGCGGAGGCGGCGGCGGACTACGTGGAGCTGCTCTCGGACTTCGAGCGCCCCATCGACAGGAAGCTCTGGAAGCAGGCGGCGCTGCACCAGGGGTCCTTGGACATCGAGGGCGGCACCGACATGCTCATGATCAAGCGGGAGATGCAGCAGTTCCAGAAGCGGGGGGACGACGACCTCTGGGCGCTCGACGTGGCGGTCGTCGCGGCGGGCCAGTGGACCAGGCAGAGGCGCGCGGAGGCCGGCTACGAGGCTCCTGACGCCTGCCCCCGCTGCGGCCAGGCGGCCGACTCTCTTTTCCATCGTGTATGGGCTTGCGCCTGTAACCAGGGCCACCCCGATTTCGAGAAATCTGATCACCTCATCCCTCGGGCCACCGCGTGCCACGAGGCATGGCCTTCGTATTGGCTGCGTGGGCTTCCGAGTGTCGAGGCCACGACCCCCTCCTTCGACCTCGACCTCCCTCCTCACCGCTCCGAATTCGGTGATTTCGCGAGTGTCCCGAGAGGCCCCGACGGGTTCCTCGCGGTTTTTGGGGACGGCTCTGGGGGGGAGCACTCCTCGGACCCCCGCCGCAGGAGAGTTGGCTCAGGAGTTTGTGCCCTCGAAGCTCTCCCAGCTGGTGGTTGGACCCCGTCGGCGGGTATCGTTTGTAGTCTTGGGGGCACCCGTCAGACGGTCCCGAGGGCCGAGCTAGCGGCCTTCGCGGAGGCCTTCGAATGCACGTTTGGGCCGCTCAGGTATGTCACTGATCATAGGCCCCTCCAGGACGGCTGGAACAGAGGTCGGCATCTCTCCCCGTCGTTCAGCTGTCCCAATGCCGACCTCTGGTTCAGAATAGGCCGAGCTGTGCGAGCTCGCGGCCCCGACCCCGTCCTAATCGAATGGACCCCATCCCACCGTGAGTCGGGAGATATACGCACGGCCCGAGACTTGTGGTGGGCGGTGGGTAACGAATGTGCTGATGAGCTGGCCTCCCGAGGAGCGTCGGCTGCATGGGCCGAATTTGTAACGCGTGTTCCCTCCACCGATGCGGTGGACGCCGAGACCTTCCTGATCCGACGTAGGGCGCGGAGAGCTCTTGCGGAGGCCATCCGAGCTGACCCGTGGACCGAAAGTCGCCCCTCGGCCCCTCGCCCCGATCGGATCCTGCGGCTCGAGCTGGCCATGAAAGCCTCGAAGCACGAGTGGAGAAGGCTCGGCGCGAAGTTTTATTGCCGTAAATGCAAGGCTTTCGTGAACCGTTCGAGGTTCATGGCTGCTGCCCCGACAGTGTGTGCGCACGGTGCCCCTCCCCCAGGAATCGCGCCCTTAAACGGTCGACGGGTTCTGGGAGGGCAGGTTTTGGACGAGTCCCACGCCTTGCAGTATTGGGGAGAATTCAAACTCGTCTTCTGCAGTAAGTGCGGTCTCACGGCAACTACTGACCCCAGGCACCTCTGCAGACCTTGTGTTGCACCCACCCCGAAGGGGAGGCAGAATCTGGCGAGGATCAGGAGAGGCCTTCACCCATGTGCGAAAGGGCCCCCCAAGATTGTAAGAGAAGCCAATCTTGAAGACCTCCGCCAGTAATTCACGTGATTCGACGTTCGTTGTCGTCAGCCCTTTAGTCCCTTTAGTCCTCCTCCTCCTCCTCCTCCTCCTTCCCTGCGTCCCCCAAGCCAAGGAAACCTAAAATGCATTGTGTATGGCGCCGTCGGTGCAAGGAACTGCTTTTTTTTTGTCTGAGAAGCAAGGAAACGCTTTTGTTTTTTTAAGCCCGAATGCCCGCGCTGGCCTCCCTCTCAGCACCCTTCCATGCGCCTCAGACCAAGAAAACCAAACATACACAGTGTTTGGCGCCCTCGGTGCAAGGAACGTTTTTTTTTTTTTTTTTTTTTTGATGATTTGATAATCAAGGAGACCTGGTGTATTTTTTGTTTTTTTCCCAACCCTCCTTGGTTGGGTATTCGTTTTGAATAGAGCAGTGTGGTCGCGTCCTTCCTCCTCCCGCCTCCCGCCTCTTTCCTGCCTCTTTCTGTCTTGCCTGCGGGGGGCTGTGAAACTGTCGCCAGTTTCGAGGCCTGCTGGGGGGTCCAGCATAGAGGGTAATCGCGGCAGATCCAAATTAGACCTCGCCATTCCTGGGGGGCTGCGATCTGTGAAACTGTCGCCACTTTCGAGGCCTGCTGGGGGGCTCAGCATAGAGGGTAATCGCGGCAGATTCAAATTAGACCTCGCCATCCCTGGGGGGGGGGGCTGCGATCTGTGAAACTGTCGCCACTTTCGAGGCCTGCTGGGGGGTCCAGCATAGAGGGTAATCGCGGCAGATCCAAATTAGACCTCGCCCTCCCTGGGGGGCTGCGATCTGTGAAACTGTCGCCACTTTCGAGGCCTGCTGGGGGGCCCAGCACAGTGAGGGCCACGCGCGGATTCAAATTAGACCTCGCCATCCCTGGGGGGCTGCGATCTGCGAAACTGCCGCCATTTTCGAGGCCTGCTGGGGGGCCCAGCACAGTGAGGGCCACGGGCAGATTCAAATGAGACCTCGCCGTCCCTGCGGGGCTGCGATCTGTGAACCTGTCGCCACTTTCGAGGCTTGCTGTGATCCCCGTTTTCGAAGTGGCTAGGAGTGCTCAGGAATTGTAAATCATCAGCTTTATCAAGCCCTTTTCCTGTAGCCAGTGTCCTGCGAGTCTCCCGAATTCCGTCTGCAGACATATGTAACCCTCGCTCCGTCATCGCCCCCTTTATAAAGTATCCTAAACTATTTGCGCCCCGCTTTTGCGCAGGGGTTGGGGTACGTCGCCAGGTTTTTTTTTTTTTTTTTTTTTTTTTTTTTTTTTTTTTTTTTTTTTTTTTTTTTTTTTTTTTTTTTTTTTTTTTTTGTTTTTTGGTTTTGCAAGCTCTAAGGGTGCTGGGAGGGAGGCTGGTGCGAGCGTCGGGGCTTCCAAAACCAAAAAAACAAAAAAAACAAACATACACAAATTTTCCTTGATTCTCAAACCAAAAAAAACCAAAAAAAAAAACACCAACAACAATACACAGCGTTTCCTTGCACCGAGGGCGCCAACCACTGTGTATGTTTGTTTGGTTTTCTTGTTTTGCAACAAGGAAGAGGAAAGGAACTCCTCCTCCTCCTCCTCCTCCTCCTCCCCCTCCTTCTCCTCCCCCTCCTCCTCCTCCTCCTCCTCCTCCTCCTCCTCGTCCTTCCCTGCGTCTCCCAAGCCAATGAAACCTAAAATGCATTGTGTATGGCGCCGTCGGTGCAAGGAACTGATTTTTTGGTTGTTGTTTTTTTGTCTGAGAAACAAGGAAACGCTGTGTATCCTAAACTATTTGCGCCCCGCTTTTGCGCAAGGGTTGGGTACGTCGCCAGGTTTTTTTCTTGGTTTTGCAAGCTTTAAGGGTGCTGGGAGGGAGGCTGGTGCGAGCGTCGGGGCTTCCAAAACCAAGAAACCAAAAAAAAAAAAAAACACAAAGCTTCGTGGATTCTCA